ATGTAAAATAGACAGTGCTTTACGATAAACATTATATAAAATATAATAAACGTTAAACTGAAATAAGTTCTGATAGAAATTATAACGATAACTGAATAGCTTCTATTATTAGTTATAAAGAGGTAGTCGTTTGAAATCGAGTTTTCTTCCACAGCCGTAACACGCGATTACGAAATTTTCATTTCGTGGACCTTAATTAGTAAATTATATATCACACGTCTGCAGACATTCTATTTAGTTAAGAGAAAAATGAGAGCTCTGGATCTTACATATGATACGTGATTATATTAATATGATATTCATTCGCAGGGGGATATTAGTAATAACAAATCGGATTCTACATGAATTTCAGGTTTAATTTCTGATCATTATAAGTACATGCACACAAGACCGTACAGACCGTGTGGTAACAGGAATGTCGAATGCATATGGAAGAAATCTTTGGCAACTACATATAAACGTCTCAGTGAGTATTCCATTAATATAAAACGAATTATGATCGCCACTGAGAAATGACACTCGATATTCCGATATAACGACAGGATTGAGAAGTAACTCGTTACTTGTAATGAAGTTACAGTTACAATTACTTTTTTTCAATAACTGTAACTTAACTTCGTTACTTTCTTTCCATGTGTAACTGTAACTTAACTTACAATTAGTTAGATTTTTTAAGTAACTAATTTAATAGTTACTTTTACAGTTACTTTATATATGTCAAATCGTCACTTTCATGGATCAAAATTATGCCACATTTTCGCTCAATCACTTAATCGTAATGTTGATTGTAACTCGAAATATTTAAATGCTCGTATTTAAATTCGCGCATTACTTTTCTTCTTTAAATAAAATTATATAATATGTAAATATAAATCTTTTTGTTATAATTCTAATGTTGTTCTATTAAAAGTAACTGAAAAGTAACGATTCGTTACTTTTTGAGTAACTGTAACTGTAACATGTTACTTTTCAGAGTTGGTAACTTGTAACAGTAACTAGTTACTTTTTGAGAGACAAAAAGTATAACTGTAACTTTTACAAAGTAACTTTCCCAACCCTGCATATAATTTAACGTTTTCGTCGCTTTTAACTGCGTTCGAGTGAAACGATTGTATTTTAACTTTCAGCGCAGACTCGGCGGACATGGCGCATCAGTTCCTACTGCACATGTACATGAAGATTCCGAAAGTCATTTGCCACCTCGACACCTTCCAAGCGAGCAAGTTCGTCAACGGCTCGAGGATAACCGGCTGGACGGGCTCGGTACTCGACTGCATGAGCCACTCCCTGTTGACGGCTCTGGCGGCGACGCCCAGACAGAAGTCCTGGAACTCCAAGTCTCAGGAATTCGAGCTCTGCGCGAGAAAGATGGCCGCGGTGCATCCCATATTGGTGCTGAGGCAGCTGCCGATGTTGGCCTCCTCCCTGATGGGAAGGTGCTACCTCGATTTCGGTCAATTTAGATCCGGCCACCATTTGGCCCTTTTCACGCAGGTTATGGGACTGTTGGAACTGTTGCAGCCGCATCTGTTTAACAAGCAACACGAAACTGCGCTGGAGAACACCTTGGAAAATTACTTCCAATGTTTTCAGGTACAATCACGGAATAAAAATAAGAAGATGGCAGATTTGAGGCAATGTGTCAGATATGCAAACAGAAATCGCATCATTTAATCAAGATTGTAAAATACTGCCAATTGTAAATCTAAAAAATTTAATTTACAAATTGCATTACGAGAAAGAGTGTTGAAGGATTTACAATAATTACAATCTTTTTTTTAATTATTCTAATACCATGCGATTTTTTTATTTACAGAATTATGGGCACATAAAAGATCTCGTCTCGTTGCTGAACAGATTTGTGTCATTATTGCAGTCGTACATCTCACACGATCCACAACGAGCAATGAAATATCTTCAGAAACACGCATATGTTTTACAGTAAGTTATTTTCTATGTCACGTTGCAAGATGATTTACATTTAACATATTTACACGTCTATAATTTTACGCGCGTGTGCAGTGAGTTGCAGGCAAATTATTCTAACGTATCTGCCTTGAGGACACTCGTGTCGGGGATACCGATACCGAGAGAGGGAGAAGATGTGGATGACATTTTAATCACTATACCTCCTGCGCTGCATCCTTCAGAACCCACTGTTCCGCTACACTGGCAATCGCTACTGACTACACTCGCCAAGCTACACGGCGAAGGTACGAGAAGTAACTCTACTAAATGTCCTTATTTAAATTCATGAACGTATCTAGGATTTTTTCTCGGAGGGGTTTTATCAATTCTGTTAACTTAACGCGTAAATAGCCATTTTTTATATTAATTGGATAATTGTAACGAAGAGAAAATAATATTTCATGTGATAACAAAAAATTTACTCAGAGTCAAAAGTAATTTGTTGTATTTTAGAATTAAAAATTAAAGAGTAAATAAAAATTTCGGAGAGGAGGGGGTTGAATTCTGAATAAATATCCTTATTTCAATTCATAAGCGTATCTAGAATTTTTTCTCGGGGGGGGGGGGTTATCAATCCTGTTAACTTAACGCATAAAAAAATAGCCATTTTTTACATTAATGAATTGTATAATTGTAACGGAGAGAAAATAATATTTTATGTGATAACAAAAAATTTATTCAAAGTTAAAAGTAAAGTATGTATTTTAGAATTAAAAATGAAAGGTAAATAAAAATTTCGGGGAGGAGGGGGTTGAATTCTGAATAAATATCCTTATTTCAATTCATAATTAAGCGTATCTAGGATTTTTTTCGGGGGGGTTTTATCAATCCTGTTAATTTAACGAGTAAAAAATAGCAATTTTTTATATTAATGAATTGGATAATTGTGGAGAGAAAATAATATTTCATGTGATAACAAAAAATTTATTCAAAGTTAAAAGTAAAGTATGTATTTTAGAATTAAAAATGAAAGGTAAATAAAAATTTCGGAGAGGGAGCGGCGGGTTAAACTCTGAATAAATATCTTTATTTAAATTCATGAGCGTATCTAGGATTTTTTCTCGGGGGGGAGGGGAGGGTTAATCAATCCTGTTAACTTAACGCGTAAATAGCCATTTTTTTACATTAATGAATTGGATAATCGTAACGGAGAGAAAATATTTTATGTGATAACAAAAAATTTACTCAGAGCTAAAAGTAAAGTATGTATTTTAGAATTAGAAATGAAAGGTAAATACAAATTTCGGGGAGGGGGAGGTTGAACCCCCCAAGCTTCCCCCGCCCTTGGATACGCTCATGTTTAAATTATAAAATTGTTCAATAAATAAATAGAGTAAAACGCCACATATGGCCGAGGCTAGTTGTTGGCGTCTAATAACATTTTTTTAATTTTACTTTTAAATTTCAGCTGTAGTAAACTGCTTGTTTAATTGACACAGAGAAAAGAAATTTATTTACAGTTTATCTTTTATAAGCGATATTATCCATTCATCCTTTAGTATCAAATATTCTAGTAATATAACGCGAGAGAGAATTATCTTAACGATTGTTTCATCCCCCGCAGATGTGTTCAGTGCGCTTCAGGAGATCGAGCACGTCGCGATACGAAAACCTTCAGTTTTGGAGTCCGTAACGGACAACGTAGCAGAACTGCTTGTGTCGCCGCAAGGCAACATCAGGGCGCTCGCTCACAATCTACTCGCCAGAGCATTGAAATACCGTCCCACGTCGAACGCGAACATACTGTCCGCGTATCAGAGGTGTTTGGACAGCCACAGAGCGGACGTTCTTATGTCGGCTTTAGAAAAATTACCGGATATCGTGTTGTGTATGCAAGGTAAATTTATTACTTCCACACAAACAAAATGAGTCTCACGTATCTCGATATCGAGATATATTACAATTTTATCGAACTTATAAAATCTCTTTTTCTTTTTTACCATTGCAGAACACGCTTTACCGTTGATGCAGAGGGTGTTCGAGTTGGGAGTGAATTCGAATGTCAACACGATACCTTACATCACTAAGACTATCATGCTGTTAAATACACAGCAAGGTTGTTAACGTCTAAAGTCATTAGTCCGTTAGTCTTGTAAATATTATGCGTAAGACTTTTTTTTACAATCGAAATAGAACGGTGGAAAAGATCTTTCATCTCTTCGATCCAACACGTTTAAGCTGTAAAGAAGGATCTTTTATAAAAACATTAGTAACGATAATTGTTTAAATATAAATGAGAAAACAATTCAAAATTTTATTTGTCTTACTTTTTTCGTAACTAATATATATACATATAGTTATTTGTACAAAATAATAACTGTTCTCTTAAATATCGACGTCTAATGCAACGTACGTTTACTGAAAGGCCTCTGGACAAACGTCATTGACCGAGTAATTCTTCATAAAAGTGGTAATCGCGTCTCTTACATTCCAGTCCGCGTCCTGAAGATACTTGTAGCAATACCGAATGTTCATCGTGGCGAGCTCGCGTAAAAATCTAAGCTGTTACATAGTTATTTGTACAAAATAATAACTATTCTCTTAAGTATCGACGTCTAATGCAACGTACGTTTACTGGAAAGCCTCTGGACAAACGTCATTGACCGAGTAATTCTTCATAAAAGTGGTAAATCACGTTTCTTATATTCCAGTCCGCGTCCC